CTGAGGATCCCCTTGGGTCCCCAGATGCTGAGAAAGAATTTTTGACGGCTGTTAGGGTTTAGGGAAGGTAATTGTTAGCAATTGTTCAATTCACTTAAGTTGTTAAGCGGTGCCAAGGGCTGTAGTTGCTAACAGGCGTTGAAAGCTGTTACGAGCAGGGACATGCTGAAAGGAAGTTCCATCATGTTACTGGCTGTTGCCATTACATAATTTGCTGAACTGCTGTTTAAGGATTTTACTTGCTGTTTTGAGGTTCAGACGCTGTAAATGTTATGAGCTTTTACATGATCCCTGTTGTAACGACGCAAATGCCAATCTGAGCATCCCGGGTTACGCCTTTGCTGTGTTACAATGGTATCGAGACGGGACCGCACGAATTCCGAAATAAACTTCGGGTCGGCGGTTCGATTCTGGCAACCAGCAAGTCGCAAATTGGCGATTTCATGGTGTAATGGATAAACCAGCGCACTGGCGCGAGGTGGGATGGCTCCTGTGCTCGAAATAATGGCCGAGGACGTCCATTGCTAAGTGGGGGCAATGTAACGACGCAAATGCCAATCTGAGCATCCCGGGTTACGCCTTTGCTGTGTTACACCTGTCCATTGTTAAATCACACCTTTCCTTTTTTTGGATATCTCTCTGACTTCATTATTCATGCCATCAGCATCTATTTGCCATCATTGGGGATAGAAGCTTGTACTGCATGGGTAGGCACAAAACCACATTCGTCAGGAATTATATACATAAGTATGTATTATACACAACAGTCTGGGTCGCCCTGGTCACCTCACTTGCTCATCATGTGGAATTGTGCAGTATAGTGCACAGCCAGCTGGCCTGTACCTGTACAGGCATCTATTGTCTCTATTCTTTACAAGTCTGGAGGCTGCTACCAAAATCATCACAGCAACATCAGTACCTTGTCTTGGCATGCAATTATACATACATGTTCTTCATCAACCTTCACCTGTGACCTGTTCCACACTACTACTGCACTGCTTCCTGTTTTCCTAGTGAACACCTACTACACACCACTGAACCACATATATGGCCCTAGACTGCAGCTGCCCACTTTCTCT